CAAACCTCTCCTCAGCCTCCTTGCAAATTGTTGCTACATATTCCATCATCTCATTAACTGGTTTCCCTGCCAGTTCTCTGTCCCACTGAACCCCGTTCAGGAAGTTCCTCATTCCCGTGTAGTCCCCTTTATTGTAGTTTGGCTGTGTGTGTGTTTGTGTTTGTGTTTGTGTGTGTGTGTGTGTGTGTGTGTGTGTGTGTGTGTGTGTGTGTGTGTGTGTGTGTGTGTGTGTGTGTGTGTGTGTGTACTCACATAATTGTACTCACCTAGTTGAGGTTGCAGGGGTCGAGTCCTAGCTCCTGGCCCCGAATCTTCACTGGTCGCTCTTAGGTCACTCTCCCTGAACTGTGAGCTTTATCATACCTCTGCTTAAAGCTATGTATGGATCCTGCCTCCACTACATCGCTTCCCAAACTATTCCACTTCCTGACTACCCCTGCAACTCAGATAACTGTGGTTGCAGGGGTCGAGACTCAGCTCCTGGACCCGCCTCTTCACTGATCTCTCTCTCTGCTTCCAGAGCTTTGTCATACCTCGTCTTAGAGCTATGTATGGTTCCTGCCTCCACTACATCACTTGTTAGGCTATTCCACTTCCTGACGACTCTATGACTGAAGAAATACTTCCTAACATCCCTATGACTCGTCTGAATTTTCAGCTTCCAATTGTGTGTGTGTGACCCAACAATTAATATTTGTTCTAATAACTCGTTGCAGTTGTGAACGGGTGTGGACGTGTGAATTGCTCATTACTCTATAATTTGTTTATGATTTTAGCCATGTACAAATGTAAGTAAGTAAATTTATTTATTTACATGATTCATTACCTTTGTACCTTGCTCAGCTATCAAAACTTTGGTGCCCAGTCCTTAGACCCATTATGTACCTCTGTGCTCTGTAAATACCTTTGTAACTTGTCATGATTGTGACCATATCTACCTGGAGCTCATTGCCTTTGTAACTTGCTCAGCTATCAAACTTCGAGGCCAGTTCCTGGACCCATTATGTACCTCTGTAATCTTTTGACTACCGTCCACAGGATGGGTATGTGGTGACTACCACCCACAGGATGGGAATAGTTTATAACCCTATATGTTGCATTCAGAAGGCATTTCTCTATCTTTCAGGTTGAACCAGGTCTCTGTTATAGTAATAATATCTATATTACCTGCACTTGCAAGTAATCTTAGCCCATCTATCTTATTTCTTAGACTCCTACTATTTGTATAGTAAACCTTAAGGGAGCTAGTCACTCGTTGCCCTCTACTATCTCTCTTTATTTGTTGATCATTTGATTTGCCTTTACTAGCAACTTTATTTTGAATATTGTCCTTTAAACATATCCCTGAGGTATCCCGGTAATATCTGCTGTTTTCAACCCTAATACTGCAGCCTGATTGTTTCTCACAAACACCCATACCTCTATAATCTATCAGTTTAAAGTCCTAGACAAGTCATCAATTACCCCCTCAATTGACTTGGCTAATGCAACCACTCCAGCCCCAGAGAGATGAACCCCTTCCCTTGCATACATATCACATTTGCCATAGAATTTGTCCCAGTTATCAATGAATGGGATTGCAAATTCCTTGCAGTACCTATCTAGCCAGCAATTTATACCAGTTGCCTTAGACATCACTCATTGCCCACTCCCTTTCTAGGCAAGATGCTACATATGACTGGGATTCCTCCCTTAGACCTGACTACTTCTATGGCTGACCTGTACTTATCCAGCAGCTCCTGTCTCCTGCCCTTCCCATTGTCATTACCCCCAGCACTAAGATAATGGGCTTGCTCCCATTACCTGACATAATATTATTCAATCTGCTGACTATGTCACCAACACCAGCTCCTGGGAGGCACACTCTCTGTCTGACCTTTCTATCTCTGTTACAAAAAGCATGGTCCTATAGAAAACATCTTACCCCTGGAATGCTGAGGCTCTTCCAAACTGCTCTTGCTGCTGCCAGAGAGCGTAAGACAGAGCTGCGGCAAACAGACTGGGAAAAAATTGTCAACGGTCTTTATGCTCACACCCCACTTAGCCAGGCATGGAGGGACAAATAGAATTAAGGGTAACAGAACTGGGCAGATCGCGCACCCTCATCCCTTACATAGGGCGAATGAGTTAGTCAGTGCTTGGGCTGCTACATCTAGCTATGACAATCTTCCCAGTATCACACAGGAAAAATTAAATGACAAATATGATGCAAGGGAGAGACTTGTTTGCTTTATGCTCAGCAAAGAAGATGACTGCAACATTCCATTCACTAATTATGAACTTGATGCAGCACTAACTAAGGGCAACTCCACGTCGCCTGGTGAGGATGGTATTACTTACAACATACTCAGATTGCTGTGTCGAGTACCAGGTAATCCATTACTTGAATTATATAACATGAGCTATGTAACTGGAGAGCTCCCTCAATCTTGGACCAACAGCCTCATCATTCCAGTTCCTAAGCCTAATCAACAAAATGCATTTCGCCCAATATCTCTTCTAGCTGCTTGTGTAAAACATTTGAAAGAATGATTCTTAATCGTCTCATGTACAGAATCAAACAATTTTTGTCTCCCCGGTTACATGGTTTCATGCATGGAAGGAGCGTGCGTCATTGCATAGCCACCTTTCTCACCCTGCACACTGACAGCTCATACACTACCTTTCTTGACCTTAAATCTGCTTTCGATGTAGCCAACCGACATGTAATCATCAGTGAACTTGCCAGAATGGATGTTGGAGGATGGCTTCTCCGCTGGATTAAAGGCTACCTGTCCAACAGAAAATCGTCTGTGTTGTTCCAGGGACATAGAAGTTTAACTAAAGACTTTGAATTAGGAACCCCACAGGGAGGTGTGTTCAGTCCACACTGTTCAATATTCTAATTAATGCATTACTTAAGCTATGCAGTCCCCCCATCATTATATGATTAGTTTTGCTGATGATTAATGATTCACCCCCCGGATTCTCCAAACCCAAAAACATTTTAATCATGTACTAGCCCGGTCAAGCCCCTGGGGTTGATAATTTCTACTGAAAAAACAAAGTACTAAAAGGTCCTCTCGACGAGAGGCACAGTTCGTGATCAATTTGCATGTTTGGTCTCTCTAGAAATATGAAGAGTTTCAGGTATTAGGGTTTGAGGTTCCAACTTGGACCGTTGTAAAAAGACTTTGTCGCCAAAACAAAGAAAACTAAGAGCATTAGATTTTTTGGGTGGGGTTTTAAACCCCAGGTTTGGTGCTAAGTTAAAATTGTGAAAATGATGTATCTTGCTTATATTAGATCATTGGTTGATTATGCTGCGCCACTACTTGCTCTTGTGTCTGACTGGAAGTTGGAGGGCTGGAAAAACGGGCAGAAGAAGCAATGAGGATCTTTTTAGGATGCCCTCGTACTGCCAAAATTTTATTGCAAAAAGAACTTGATATCCAAGCATCAGAGATCGTGTTACTGAAAGAAATATCTTAATTGGGGTTAATATGCTCAGGCAAGCCCATTCAAACCCCTGCACAGAAGCCCTCCAAATTTTCCTCAGCACTGGTGAACACTCCCCCAGATGGATCGAAAAAACTAAAATCGACCTCCGCATGAATCAGATACATGATCTATGTCAAGTAAGGCAACAACGGCACTTCTCCGCTCCATGGGATATTACCCCAATCCAAACTACCATTCCTCCATTTCCCCCAAAACTACTTCTTAAATCACAACCGAAACTTCGCCTTGAAGCCAAAGATGATGCTTGAGCTGTATTGATAACTTAGTCACACAGCACACACTCTCGCAAATTATTTACGTTGATGGTTCTGCTCACCAATCCACTGGTGCAGCTGGTAGTGCTGCTGTTGTCGTACAGAGTGATGGCTCTCTTAAAGAAATTGGAGCACGCATTAATAATTGGGCCTCTACCCTTCTGACAAAACTGTTTGCCATACTCCTTGCACTGAAATGCATCTATGTATCTTAGATTGACAGTTTGATTGTAACTGATTCTCTTTTTTTTTTATTATCACACCGGCCGATTCCCACCAAGGCAGGGTGGCCCGAAAAAGAAAAACTTTCACCATCATTCACTCCATCACTGTCTTGCCAGAAGGGTGCTTTACACTACAGTTTTAAACTGCAACTTAAACCCTCCTTCAGAGTGCAGGCACTGTACTTCCCATCTCCAGGACTCAAGTCGGCCTGCCGGTTTCCCGAATCCCTTCATAAATGTTACTTTGCTCACACTCCAACAGCACTCAAGTATTAAAAACCATTTGTCTCATTTCCTATCAAACACGCTAATGATGCCTGTGGAAGTCAGCCCTCGCACACAAAACCTCCTTTAACCCCTCCTCCAACCCTTCCTAGGCCAAACCCTACCCGCTTCCTTCCACTACTGACTGATACACTCTTGAAGTCATTCTGTTTCGCTCCATTCTCTTACATGTCGAACCACCTCAACAACCCTTCCTCAGCCCTCTGGAAAACAGTTTTGGTAATCCGCACCTCCTCCTAACTTCCAAACTACGAATTCTCTGCTTATATTCACAACCACATTGCCCTCAGACATGAATCTCCACTGCCTCCAGCCTTCTCCTCGCTGCAACATTCATCACCACGCTTCACACCCATATAAGAGCGTTGGTTAAAACAACATACTCTCTACATTCCCCTCTTGCCTCCAAGGACAAGTTCTTTGTCTCCACAGACTCCTAAGTGCCCCACTCACTCTTTTTCCCTCATCAATTCTATGATTCACCTCATCTTTCATAGACCATCCGCTGACACGTCCACTCCCAAATATCTGATACGTTCACCTCTCCATACTCTCTCCTCCAATCTGATATTCAATCTTTCATCCCCTAATCTTTTTGTTATCCTCATACTTACTCTTTCCTGTATTCACCTTAATTTCCTTCTTTACCCCACCCTCCCAAAAATTCATCCACCAATCTCTGCAACTTCTCTTCAGAATCTCCAAGAGCACAGTGTCATCAGCAAAAGCATGATTCTCTGTCATCCATAAATGCTCTCAACTCATTAAGTATAAATTGTGGCATGCTTGTGTCAGAAGCCAGACATAAGTATGGTAAGATTGTGGACAGTGGAGTCAGAGTGCACATGCTGTGGATTCCATCCACTCAGAAGTGTTCAAGAAATGGCAAAGTATTTTATCCACAGTGGTATATTACAGACCATTCTGGAGAAATACCCTGACTTTGCTAGCTGTAAATAATGCATTACCACGTGTGTGTGTGTGGGAGGGGTGTTAATGTTGCAGTTTAAAAACTGTAGTGTAAAGCACCCTTCTGGCAAGACAGTGATGGAGTGAATGATGGTGAAAGTTTTTCTTTTTCGGGCCACCCTGCCTTGGTGGGAATCGGCCAGTGTGATAATAAATAAAAAAAAAAAATGTATTTTATTTATATTATCATATAGTTGTACATAATTTCTGTGTTATGTATTTGTACAGTATTTCACACTGGAGGTGCCTGCAGTAGATGGATGTACCTGTCCACATTCCGTTGGGTAGTTCCGGCAAATAACAGAAATCCTCCTTTCCCGTGGTACTGGAATAGCACCAAAGTAAGATTCTTTTTCACCAAGAACCTCGTGAGAATATTTGTAGCGACATTCATCCCTGAGGAAGATAATACAGTATAATTAAATAATAAAAGGAATAACAAATATTAAGTGTCTATTAAGAAAGAGAGTAGAAGGGTTATCAGTCTCAAATGCTTTAAGAAACAGATATTATGAATTCAGTGGGAAAGTTATGATAAGTCTCAAAAGCTCTATGAGAAAAACAAATAATCATGACAAAATGTCAAATATGTACATCAAGATAGTCACACAATGTAGTACAGTGGACCCTCGGGTAACGATGTCATTGGATAAAGAAAAAATTGGATAGCGACACGTTTTTGCGTAAAAATATTGGCTCGGTTACCGAAAAAGAACTCAGTTAAGGACATTCATCCTGAATGTGCCCGTGCAGCCTGAGCCGCCCGGCCACTCCATGTACAGCCAGTGTGCCATTGTTTACAAGCCACTGTGGACGATTCCATGCGTACATGAGATATATTTTGTATTATTCCATTGTTTTTAGTGCTTGCAACTGCTAAATAAGCCACCATGGGCCCAAAGAAAGCTTCTAGTGCCAGCCCTGTCGTAAAGAGGGTGAGAAATACTAATGAATTGAAGAAAGAGATCATTGCAAAATACGAAAGTGGAGTATGTATCTCCGAGTTGGCAATGTTATATAACAAACCCCATTCAATCATCGCTACTATCTTAGCCAACAAAAAGGCAATCAAGGAAGCTGTTGTTGCAAAAGGTGCAAGTATGCTTACAAAACGGAGATTGCAAATACTCGAAGATGTGGAGAGACTGTTGTTGGTGTGGATCAACGAGAAACAATTATCAGGAGACAGTGTTTCTCTGTCAATAATATGTGAAAAGGCAAGGCAGTTTCATGCGGATCTCATTAAGAAAATGCCTCTAAATAGTGCTCATATTGATGAATTTAAGGCCAGCAAAGGCTGGTTTGATTTAAGAATCACAGTGGCATACACAGTGTGATAAGGCATGGTGAGGCTGCCAGTTCTGACAAAAAAGCATCTGAAAAATATGTTCAGGACTTTAAGGGATACATAGAGGCTGAAAAATTAAAGCCCCAATAAGTGTTCAATTGTGACAAAACAGGCCTGTTTTGGAAGAAAATGCCAAACAGGACCTACATTATTCAGGAGGAAAAGGCACTCCCAGGACACAAGCCTATGAAAGACAGGTTGACTCTCATGTTTTGTAGTAATGCTAGTGGGGATTGCAAAGTGAAGCCTTTACTCGTGTATCATTCTGAAACTCCCAGAGTGTTCAAGAAAAACAGTGTCGTCAAGACTAAATTGTGTGATGTGGAGAGCAAACAGTAAGGCATGGGTCACTAGGGGCATTTTCCTTGACAGGTTCTATGACGTGTTTGGCCCCAGTGTGAAAAAATACCTTCTGGAAAATAAATTGCCACTCCAGTGCCTCCTGTTTGTGGACAATGCTCCTGCTCATCCTCAAAACTTGGAAGAGCAAATTGTGGGGGAGTTTAGTTTTATCAAAGTCAAGTTTTTGCCTCCTAACACCACTACTCTCCTCCAGCCCATGGACCAGCAGGTCATTTCAAACTTCAGAAAACTGTACACCAAAGCAGTGTTTCAAAAGTGCTTTGAAGTGACCTCAGACACTGAATTGACCCTAAGAGAGTTCTGGAAAGATCACTTAAGTATCCTCAGTTGCATAAACCTTATAGGTAAGGCTTGGGAGGAAGTGACTTCCAGGACTTTGAACTCTGCTTGGAGAAAATTGTGGCCAGAATGTGTACAAGAGAGGGATTTTGAAAGATTTGGGGCTAACCCTGAGGAGCCTATGCCAGTTGTGGAATCTTATTTTGGCATTGGGGAAGTCCATGGGGTTGGAGGTTAGTGGCGAGGATGTGGAAGAGTTGGTGGAAGATGACAATGAAGAGCTAACCACTACAGAGCTGCAAGAGCTTGAGGTGCAACAACAACAGACCACAGCTCAGGAAACTGCTTCAGAGGAGGAAGAGAGATGGAGGAAGTTGCCTTCGTCAAAGATTAAGGACATTTGTACAATGTAGACAAAGGTGCAAGCATTTATGGATGAACTTTACCCTGACATAGCTGTTGCAGGCTGCATTGGCAACAATATTGCATCCCATTTTAGGGAAATCTTAAAGAGATGCCAGAAACATAAGAACATAAGAAAGAAGGAACACTGCAACAGGCCTACTGATCTATGCGGAGCAGTTCCATGTCCCCCCTCCCCCCGATTAGACCAATGACCCCCCCCCCCAGATTACCCCAATGACCCACCCCAGTCTGGTCACCTCCACTCAAGGAAGGAGCACTGCACCAGACCCAGCAGCACAAGCTAGTCAGGTCCAACTCGTACCCACCCACACCCACTCATGTATTTATCTAACCTATTTTTAAAACTACACAACGTTTAAGCCTGAATAACTGTACTCGGGAGTTTGTTCCACTCATCCACAACTCTATTACCAAACCAGTGCTTTCCTATATCCTTCCTGAATCTGAATTTTTCCAACTTGAAACCATTGCTGCGAGTCCTGTCTTGGCTGGAAATTTTCAGCACACTATTTACATACCCTTTATTTATTCCTGTTTTCCATTTATACACCTCGATCATATCCCCCTTAATTCTACACCTTTCGAGAGAGTGCAGATTCAGGGCCCTCAGTCTATCCTCATAGGGAAGATTTCTGATACATAGGATCATCTTTGTCATCCTCCTCTGTATGTTTTCCAGAGCATTTATATCCATTCTGTAATACGGTGACCAGAACTGAGCAGCATAGTCTAAATGAGGCCTAACCAAGGATATATAGAGTTGAAGAACAACCTGAGGACTTCTATTATTTATACCTCTAGATATGAAGCCAAGAATTCTGTTAGCTTTATTGCGAACACTAATGCACTGTTGTCTTGGTTTTAGATTACTGCTAACCAGAACTCCTAAATCCTTTTCGCAATCAGTAGTATTAAGATCTACACTGTTTAGTTTATATGTGGCATGGTTATTTAACTGTCCAACATTTAGAACTTTGCATTTGTCAATATTTGCCAATAATAAACAGGGGTCCAGTGACTCTCAAACTGGTCCTAGTGGCATTAAAAAACAAAGAAGGGAGGTAACCTCAGAAAAGGACTTGTTACCTGAAGTCTTTATGGAAGGGGATTCCCCTTCCAAACAATTGTAAACTCCTCCATCCTCTGCCCTCCTCCCATCTCATCACTCATCAGTAAGTCCTCAATAAAGGTAAGCGTCATTTCAGTATTGTTTATTCTGTATATCTCATTGCTTTCTGTGTAGGGAAATGTATATTTCATGTAAAAAAATTATTTTGTTTAACAATTTTGGGTGTCTGGGACGGATTAATTGAATTTCCATTATTTCTTATGGGGAAAATTAGTTCAGATAACGAAAAAATTGGTTAAACACAAGCTCTCTGGAATGGATTAATGTCATTACCCGAGGGTCCACTGTATATCAAATTTTTATTAAAAAAATGAGTTGAGTGAATCTTTATGCTAATGACTCTAAAATTTAATTAAAAGTCTACCTTAAGATCTTGCATATTGTTATGTTCTTCCACAACTTGTCGAAAGTAATAATTGGGAGAATTCTGAGGGTGCAATTAGGAATCTCTACCTACTTTAACTCTTTCAGGGTCCAAGAATTTAATAAAAAAAAAAATTATTTTTTCCTATGAAATGGTAGAGAATCTTTTTCCGAATGTAATAAAACAAAGTACAGTGGTCCCTCGTTGTTCGTAATTAATCCGTTCCTGGAGCCGTTACTATAAACGAAATTTACGATTTACGAATCAATTTTCCCCATAAGAAATAATGTAAATACAATTAATCCGTTCCTGACACCCAGAAGTATTAAAACAAAAATTTTTTTTACATGAAATATACATGTAGTACATAAACAATACAATGGGAAATGATGAATGAAACATTAACAGCATAACACTTACCTTTATTGGAGATTCTTCTTAGTGTATGGGAGACTGGAGGAGGACAGAGAGTGGATTGTTTATAGTTTGGAAGGGGAATCCCCTTCCATCAACACCTCAGGTACCATTTGCTTTTCTGGGGTTGCTTCTCTTCTCTGTTTCTTAATGCCACTAGGACCACCTTGAGAGTCACTGGAGTCCTGTCTCACAAAATAACTGTGGAGAGAGCTTTGTTTCTGGCGTCTCTTTAACACTTCCCTAAAATGGCCCAAGACTTTGTCACTGTACATGTTGCCAACCTGGCTTGCAACAACCTTGTTAGGGTGATGTTTCTCCATAAAGCTTTCCATCTTACCCCACGTAGTAAAAATCTCTTTAATTTCTGAGAAGGCACCTTCTTCCATCTCTCTTCCTCCTCCTCTGCAGCAAGATTCTGAGCTGCGATGTGTTGCTCTTCCTGCTGAAGCTCTTGTAGCTCTTCAGTGGTGAGCTCTTCATGTGGTCTTCCACCAATTCTTCCAATCCTCCAAACTCACATCCAACCCCATGGAACTCCCCAGTGCCACAATTGATTTTACAACAGACATAGGCTCATTAGGGTCAGTCCCAAATCCTTCAAAATCCCTCTTGTTGACACAATCTGGCCACAATTTTCTCCAGGAAGTGTTCAAAGTCCTGGTAGTCTCTCCCTCCCAAGCCATACCTATAAGGGTTATGCAGTGGAGGATGCTGAAGTGTTCTCTCCAAAATTCCCTTAGGGTCAAGTGAGTGTCTGTGGTCACAGTCAAGCACCTGTGAAACATTGCTTTTGTGTAGAGTTTTTTAAAGTTTGCAATAACCTGCTGGTCCATGGGTTGGAGGAGAGGAGTGGTATTCGGGGGCAAGAACTTTACTGTGATGAACCCAAACTCCTCGAAAATTAGGTCATCCAAGTTTGGAGGATGAGCAGGTGCATTGTCCATTACTAGCACGCACTTGAGATCCAATTTCTTTTCCAGGAGATACTCCTTCACACTAGGGCCAAACACTTCATTGAACCACTCGACGAAAATTTCCCTCGTGACCCATGCCTTACTATTAGATTTCCA